AGATATCATCTGTCCATCTTGTTAAAAACAGAGAATATTGTACTTTACTTGAGCTAAGTATCCTTGATTTCCCGCTTTCATTTTCCTGAGAATTCCAAGAGGAAATTTTAAGTAAGCAAAGTACAATACAGATAAATGTTACAAGTATCTACACACACATAAATATCCAATCGACTTATCAAGCAAGCATCAAAGAATGATAAAGTTTATGAAAACCAACCACACAAGAAATTGCCTATTACAAAATATAAAGTAAGCAAAGAGCTCTCAAACTATCTTCAAATAAGGAAATAATGTAATTGAACAAAATCAAGTATTAGAACATTCCGTGACTGCACTTATGATTTTACTTTACATTGATATCAACTATCCCGAACCATTCCCGAATCACAAATATTAGTATTAATGTGTACCTTAGAATAGAATGAGAAGTGGGATATAAATTCGAGATAGCAGCAGAAAAATCTGGATAACCTTGCCTTGGCCAGCAAATTAATACTACAATTTATTGGCATGGAAACGTAAGAGCTCTTAATAATATAATAACATAATTGCTGAATTTCACTCCCTTTCTGTATGGAGTAATCACATGTTCATGCATTAATCAATTAATTTTCTAGAATAGACAAAGATATAAGATATGATTTTTTAGAATGATAAAAGATATGAAATTGTTATAACTATACTTACACTTTAATCAAACAATGATATACAGAAACTCTATAACTCTTAGTCATATACCATTATCAATCTATCAATTAACGGAAGCATCTTAGAATGTTCAGGCTTTCACAAAAACTACAAATTAATTGCAGTAAATTTGCAAACACATACTATTAGAACGAAATTGTTGACTTGATATTACTCTATCTATGTATACACATAGATGTAAAACACATGATACAAGGATTTGACCTAATCAGTCTGTGAAATTGTCTTATTTTTATTTGTGAATGAATTTGAAGGGACACAACTAAAAATTAGCGAAGATGAAGGGATGTGGTGGCGATGAGTGGTGGCTAAGAACAATCCATGTACCTCCTAAAAATCGACGATGATTATTTGAAGCTTACTGAAGATGAACCTCAAAATCATCTAATTCATACCAGCGAGCGGCATCGGTATCGGCATCGAAATCCACCAAGGAGATATATAATTTGGAGAGCACCGAGTCGAATTAAGCTCCCGAGAAGCGTTCTCGTCGTTGTGTCAGTGAAGGCTTGTCGGAGAGATTGAACTGGAGGAAGAATTGGAGAGGCGGGTGTTTAAGATCCAACGTATAGGTTTGATTTGTCTCAGGAGAAATTTTAAGCTATGAAGATTAGAGAGAAGAATGGTTCAGAGGTTTAGATCTAGCGTAAAGGTTTAGTTTAGTGATAAGGCTATTTTTGAAATAAATATCTCAAAACTGATAAACTGAAAGTTTAAATATGAAAAGATAAAAACACGGGAACATAAATGAAATGCAGGGGGGAATAGTGGCTCAAACGGGTAATTACCACTAAAAAAAAATCAACCTGGCCTAGTGTAAAGAAAAATAGGCCTAGTGTAAAGAAAAAAGGCCCAATGTAAATGTGTTCTGCTTAAGCCTTAAGCTGCCCAAATCCCAATCCCTTTGAAAGCAAAATACGAACGATTGGAAAGATTGGAAAGAATCAAAATTGAAGAAGTCAAACAATGGGTGAGTGGCGGACTGTTCTGTGACTTCCGTCTGTGCGAGTGTGCGACTTGCCGGACTGCGGACGATTGCTGGACGCCTGGACGGTGGAGTGCGGAAACTTGCCGGCGAATGGAGGACTGGCCGACTGGAGGAGTTCGGTGGATAGAGCTCCAATTAACAAACAAAGCCATCTGAAATCTTGCCCTTTCTATAGAAATAGAGGTAAATGTTCTAACTTCTAACCCTAATTTATAATTGAATCTTAATTAGTCATGACTTGAATGAATTTATTTTGTGTACTGTTTACCTACTTTTTTATATTCTGAGTTTTTTTAATTACTAGTATGTGTTAGTGTGTATATTGTGAGTTTGTAAATTGTTAAGTAGTTATATAAATATAACTTATATGAATATGTGAATGTCAGAATTGAAATTTCAGAATAATATACTTTAAAATGTCAGTTTGTTTTTTTTTACTTTAATATTATCTCAATAATTTATAATGATTTTTTAAATTATTTGGATTTGACAGAGGAAATTATGGCTACTCAACAGCCTCCTTGAAGAAAAACAAAGTCACTTTGCGTTCTTTCTTTAAACCTGCTAGTAAATTACAAAGTGAAGGATGTCAAGATTGCGATTCGAAATAAGATGGCTGACGACTTTCTAGCTGATAATTTATCAGTTTTTATTGAAAGAGAACTTGTTAGCACAATAGATATTGATTCTCTTATTGACGAGTTAGCTAAAGTAAAAGATCGCCGAATGCAATTAACTTTGTAGCATAATGCATCATCTCTTTTGTAGTAACAACTTTTATGATAAATTGTGGTTAGTTTTATTATTTAATATTTATTATAAACTTTTTCTTGAACTCCGGCCCAGCCTTCTTTGTCGTCCTGGCTACGCCCCTGTCCATGTAAGTGCACATCGCTTCAATTCACTTGCCGCACCTCACCCGGAAGCGTATACCATACAGCCGGCTGTACGGCTGGCACCGTACAGCCGGTGGCAATTTTGTAATTTTCATGAAGTTCGTGGTTTCTCGTAAATGAGCATTGATGTAATTTTGATGAGCATCGAGCCTGTTCTTCTGAGTATTAAAAGCCTAACAATGAGCACCGGTTATCTCTGCTTCATATTTTCTAATTCGGTTTCTTTTTATGATTTTTTCATTTATAAAAATTAAAAATCTTAAATTATGTTTATAATTAATTTCAATATGTGAATCTAATGTAGTATGATATGTTTGATATGTGCATCATTTTAAAATGAGCATAAAGCAGTACCAAATGAACATACATAATTTATAAAATGAGTATAAAAAATTCAAAACTTTATTTGTGTATGCTCATTGATTTTGGGCGTTATATTTGATATGTGCATCATTTTAAAATGAGCATAAAACAATACCAAATGAGCATACATAATTTACAAAATGAGTATCGAAATATTAAAAACTCATTTTTTGTGTGTTCATTCATTTTGGGCATAATACTCATTTGAATTTAACTTAAAACTCATTTTGAAATATGCATGAATATGACATTTTAAAAAGAGTATTGTACTAATATCAAATGAGTATACATAAATTACGAAATGAGCGTTCAAAAAACTCATTTGAGTATGCTCATTCATTTTGGGTGTTATACTCATTTCAATTTTACATGAAACTCATTTTCAATGTATTCAATATTAGTTTGTGTGAGTTCATTTCTTTTAGACGTATACTCATTTTTTAGGCTCATTTAAAATCACTACCATGCTCAAACTTTTATTTGCGTATGCTCATATCTTTAGAATTACGTACAACCTAGGTTATCCCAGACCCAAAAACCACCAAACTAAAATAATCAGTGTGAGAAAAATTGGAAAAAGGAAAAGAAAGGAGCAGAGCGTGCGAAGTTAAGGACGAAGCTGAAGGAGAGCTGCTGAAGGGTTGCGGTTGTCGAAAAAGGGAGATGTGCTAGTAGGCGGCGAGCAAGGATGATCGGCCATAGAAGCCTGCGATGGAAGCCCTGCAATGCTGCGATGACGGAAGCCTGCGATGGAAGCCTGCAATTCGCGAACTAAAAGTCCGGCTGTACCGTGCGCACGGTACAGCCGGTTGTACCATGTAATTCGCGCACCTCACCCGTCACCACAGATTACTGCCGCTGCACCTTGCATCATGTTTAATTTACTCTGCAATGGAACGACGCTTCTCGGCTGCAAGCCCTACCCAGGTGGTCAGGCCGCTTCTGGGTCCAAACCGGCTACAATTTCGGCGACAGCGGTAAAGGAAATTGCGTCACCGGCGACTGCTGCGGCGTGCCTCCAGTGACTCTAACAGAGTTCACCATCGCCAACGGGGATGCCCAAAAGGACTTCTTCGACGTCATCCTCCGATCTCCTTTCAATTTTCGCCGGCATAAATTTGTTTCCGTCAATTTTGCAGCCGGGCTCTGTTCTTCTTCTTTTCTTTCAGTAAAAAAAACTGATCTCAGCTATTTGCTTCCGCCGATTGCTATCAATTTTTGCGGGCTTAAAATTTGTTTCACTTGATTTTGCCTGTAGATCCGTTTCCTTTTTTTCGTCAAACTTGTTGCAGCGTTTTCTTCTTTCTTTTTGTATTATCTAATTTCCTTTTCAAGTTGTTCATTTTTCAATTTATTGTGTTTGCTCTTTCAAAACAAATTGTGTTTGTTAATTTGTATATTCATTTTTAATTATTATTTCTTTGATTCATTTTAGCCATTCACTCCTATAATATGATGTCATTATATATGGTAATATATTATATATTTTTTTTAAATCATTGACAATGTTATGAGAAATGTCATAATGTCGGAAAATGTCAAAATGCATTGTCAATGTTATGAATAATAACATTGTAATTATGACAATGTCAATGCTGTCGTGAGAATGTCATTGTCAAAACGTTGAATAATATTATACTGTAAAAAAATGTCATAATGTCAAACATTATCATTATAAACATTGTCACAATATTTGTAAATATTGTCAAAATCTAAAAATAATCACCTTATTAAAATGTCATTATCTTAAATAATTACAATGTCAATGTCAATATTACTAATAATGACATTGTCAATGTCGATGTCAATAACCATCGTTAATATATTGTGTTAAGATTATTATCATTAATAACTTGATATCATCTATTGTGTTTACACTATCATTGTCCCAATTGTGACAATGACATGGCAATGCTAATGCCATAAAGTAACATTATAATAATGTCAATGTCAATGTAGTGACAAGGTTAATGACAATGTCGTAACAATGCCAGTAATTATAAAAATGACATTGTTAAAAATAATGACAATGCTATAAAAAGAATCAAATGATTATAAATTGATGACAATTTCAATAATTATAAATATGACATTATCATGAAAATGCCATTATTGAAAATATGAAATAACATTATCTTTTTTGTTGACACTGTCACCGTTCAAATATAATTATGATAATGTCATGACAATGATAGTGTCAATGTCACGAAAAAGATAATTTTTAAAAATATGATTGAAAGAATACGACGGTCGACGGAAACCAAATTGCAGTTCAGTAGTTGCAATTGAAGATCAATACAATTAAAAGAAAATGAAATTGAATCACATGGAAACAGCAAAATAGAAAAGAAAGAACAGAGACGGAAGAAAATAAGGAGATGCGAGAAGAAAAAGGAGGAAGAAAGAGCAGCAGTAGGAGAACCATGTGGGAAAGATGAAAATACAAAGGGCAAATACGGGGGAGATAACAAGCCTTTGAGTATTGTTTTCTATAAATTTCCAGTCCAATCCCGCACCACCCATCCCAGTCCTCTCTTTCCACCCTCCCCGGTTGCTACGTCAACATTTATTTGTTTACTTTTAGACACCCGCCGGTTTCGGCTATGGGGGTAGCCTTATTCCTGCTCATTGCATGTTGCTAGTTAAGGTAAACTACTTCTATGCTGCACGCCAACCGAGTAAAACAGCCCTTGCGAGATTCATAATTTCATCCAAATCACAACTACCCATGATGATAATATAAATAACATAACAATTCATATACTTCGTATAATAATACCAATGGCATATAATGTCAATATCATAACAATGTCAATGACATAATTTTTATAAAAAAACATCACTGCTTATGTTTTATAATGTCTTTATAACTTTTATAGAAAAACATCATTGTTTGAAAACTAATTTCATTGTGTGAATAAAATATAAAGTTAAAAAAGAAAAAGAAAATGACAATGTCATTATAAAAAATATGACATTGTCTATTCTCATGACAGTGTCATTGTTAAAATTAAAATAATGACAATATCATTACTATGGTAATTATGCTAATCATTTACCATAATTATGCTAATTATGGTAATAATGACAATAATGTTGATATCATTGTAGATTTGTAGAATATATGACAATATATATTGAAATGTGATAAAAACATTGACATGTAAATAAATTAAGTCCAAATCTAAGACTGAGATGACATTGATGTCATCAAATCAACATTAAAAGGTAAAATCACTAAAATAAGTTAATGAAAAAAAAGTGGAAGCATGAACAAATTAATGAAATTAATGAAATAATTATTTAAAATTAACACAAAAACCAATAAAGACAAAAAGTAAAAATCTAGCTAGCTCCAACAGGGGAAGCATGTACAAGTGGTACAACCTGCAAAAAGTTTCGGATCCAAAAGGCCAGCTACTTGGAATACTAGATCGGGCGATGCACGTACAACAGGCCAAACAATCTAGATCTAAAAATCTAGCTACCAGACCGGGCGGAAGAGAAGATGAGAAGAGAAGAACAAGGTGGAAGAGGAGTACGAGAAGGAGGAATTTCTGCTACCGTCCATTGACGTTCCTGTTGCGGCCGCCGTCGCTGGAGGCTGGTCCGCCGTCCGTGCGAGAACAAAGAGGCCGCAATGAAGATGAGAAGCTTGTTAGACCGGACGGAAAGAGAATGGAAAAACACGGGTCTCCAGCAAAATGAAAGAGAAGAATATCCCCTGCAATTAAATCAGGGGCAGACTTGGTATTGTGTTAAAAATAAGTCCTATTTAAGTTTAAAAAAGTAGCTAGTCCTATACGTGTATATATGTAAAGTTATGGTCTTATTTAAGACCATTTCTCCTCCGTATATGTGTAGTTTAGGTCTTTAGGATGTGCGTTCAGCGTGCTCACTAACAAGCCCGTAACCGCATTTTATAATTTCCGAAGTTTTAAAGGACCGAAGGAGTATGAAGTAATAATTTTTTGATAGTATTTAGGTTTATGATCCTAATTATTGTATAGTACTCCGTACAATCCACGGGATGGCAACTTTATCCCTAATTACTCCGTATTTCCTAACTATAGCCTATAGGGGGTTCGGACTTCAGATACAAAAATATTTTTAATACTAAAAATGTTTTTAGAAATTAAAAGTTTGACAAACGGTAATTCAGTTCCAACCTATGAAGCACGGATATTTCCCTATGGTAGCGTATCGGCGTATCCGATACGTTCCCGTATCCGATACTCTAGGATACCCGTACCGTACGTTCCCGGGCCGTATCTGTAATTTTTAAAAGTTTCCATTTTTTTTGTAATTTTTTGAAAGTTTCCGATACTCGTATCCTGACGGATACCCGTATCAACTTTTTTTTAAAAAAATCCCAAAATTTACTTAATAAAATTCTAAATAAAAATGAAAATCTAAAACTACATTTTACTTGGTAATCAAATAATGGGCCTATATGGCTATATCTGAATTAAGTCATTAACTCATATTCCGAATTGGGTACTTGCACTTTTAATTTCAAGATTGTAGTTGTTTGACTTATTTCTCATTTTAAATTAATGACTTATTGATTACATTTATATTTCGAGATGCACTACACTACAACAAATTTCATTTATGGAGGCAACTCGTTGGGGCAACTTACATATTATTGCCTCTAAAAACATACTTTTGCATCAAATGGATCATGGTTGCCTCTAATTTAGAAGATTTGAGGCAACCCTATTCTATTTGCTTCTAAAAGGTGCTATTTAGAGGCACACTATTTTGGTTGCCTCTAAAAAGTCGTATTCAGAGGCACACTATTATGGTTGCCTCTAAAAAGGACTATTTAGAGGCACACTTTTATGATTGTCTCTTAAAGATGTTGTTTGGAGGCAAACTTTTATGATTGTCTCTAAAAGTCTTTATATTACTCCTATTATAATTATCTCTAAAGCATATACTCATAAATGTCAACTAGTTTATGAGCCCGTTTGGTATTGCTGAAATTTATGAAGTTTTGGCTGAAATGGTTGCATTGGCTGATTCTGCTGATTTAAGAAAAAATTATTTTTAAAATATATTTTATTAATGAGATAAAGAAAAAACTATATCTAAAAAATAGCTAAAATGGTCATCTACAGTCACTTTAGCCAATACATCCAGAAAAGTAACTACAACCTTACTTTTTCTGCTTATTACGTACACAATTCTGCGCACGAAAGCAAAAGTTGCGTGTGTGGTGAAAAAGTTGGCTGATAAGCCTGATAAGCCGAAAAAGAGTGTTGCCAAACGGCCTCTATAAAATTAAAATTTATACCAAGTACTTAACACAATTGTAAATATTTTTATAAGTATAGTTACATTTTAAATAATTTTTTATAATTACAGTTATAATTAGAGTTATGATTATAGTTACAATAATAATTGTAATTATAAGAAAAAATGGTCCGGTTATAACTAATGGACTTTTCATTTCTAAATATATGACTATTTTCATATTTCCCAAAAAAGTGACGCGGTTTACCTTTCTTCCATCGACGCACGCTGCCGACCGCTTTCTTCATTCGACGCACATCGAATGCCAGAGCTGCCATGGACGCAAGGAAACCGATCTTTCTTCTCTTCATTTTTGCAGTCGGCTATCGAAGTCGCCGCCGCTGCCCCTAGGTCGTATCGGCTCCCCTTCACAGTCGCCGCCATTGGCTATGCCGACATTCGACGTCGCCGCCTCAGCCGGCCTCCAGATCTCCGCCCGCTTCCATTCTTCTTCTTATTCACTCTCCAGATCTGATGTGAAAGTTGCGGCGGCCAAGTTCCATAGTTTGGTCATGCTCCGGCGGTGGCAATTGCTAACAAACAACGGCGGCGACCCAAAATTAGGTTTAGGAGCTAGTGTTGTTGGCTGGTGGTAGAGCGGCGGCTTAATTTACTACGGTGGTGATGCACTGGAGGTTGGAGGCTAGGATCGAGGGACTGACGATTGGGGGTTAACGCGTTCAGGGCTCGGGCTGAATGTTGGAGGCTGGTGGTGTTGAACGGCGTTGATGGGCTCGCAGAGTAGTTTGGCTGACTGCCTGGTGGCTAAGGTGGCTTGAGACAGGGCAGGGGTCGGGGCAGGGTTGGGCTTGGATTTGGGGTGCTGGTGGGGCATGGGGGTGGGGAGGGGCAGGGGTAATGGGTGGTCAATGGGCAGACGGTAGTGGCAGAGGGATGGCTTTGCCGGCGGGCAGCATGGGGAGGTGGTTTGGGGCTGGGAGGTGGCTGGAGGCTGGAGAGTTGAGTCAGGGCTGGGGTGGCAGTTGGGTTTGCCAGTGAGGGTGGAGTCAGTGTTGCGTGTCACTGTGCTGAGTCACATTTGATCGGTGGGTGGGCAGTCATAGTGACGGAAGTCACTTTGATCAATGTGTGGGTAGTCACTATGACAAGTGGGACAGGGAGTCACGGTGGCCGGAGTCACTATGACGTTGTGGCCCGTGGGGCAGTCATTGTTGTGGTCACTATGGTCGGAGCAAGTCATTGAGCGGCGGTCATTATGACCAGATTAAGTCACTAAGTGGCAATCACTATGGTCGGAGCAAGTCACTGAGCGGTGGTCACTATGATCGGAGCAAGTCACTGGGCGGTGGTGCGGAAAGACAGCTGGCGGCCCCATGGTTACAATGGCGGTTGTTGTTGATGGCAGGGGAAACTCTTTCCTATTTTTTAGTATTGTTGAGGTTTATTCCTTCAACCCCCGGGTCCAACACGTAAGCCCAAGGATTTCGAATGGAGTGTGTGTGAGTAAACTAGCCCAACAAGCAGATAATAGGGATCAAGAAACGGTAAAGGTAGCAAGTAAGTGATTAGGTATTATTATCTCTTAATAACTCCCTAATACAATACTTTCCGCTAAGGCTCCGTCGGCCGTTCGTCTTACAAGGCAGTAGAAGTGCTGCGAGTAAGGATGTTATAGCTAGAGTGCTAAGAATAGAAAGTTGCCAACCCTTTACAATGAAATAAATGCTTCTATTTATACCCGCCAATGGACAGGTGGCTATGCTGACGTGGAGGTCTGTGGACCGCTTGTGTCCCAACCACCAAATCTTCAGCATTAAATGCGCTTCCCGCCAGAATCTAGGTTTCCCGCCTAAATAATGGGGACGTTCGTCCGACTGGGAAGCGAGCTGGATCGCTCCAGGTGATCCTCAAGAGGTTTCGGCTGTTCGTCTCCTGGCCTTATGGATTCTCTCCATGTGGACTGGATTTCCTCGGATGACTATAGGCTTGCCATGGGGACGTTCGTCGTCATCCCCTGGTAGCCCGCTGGGCCTGAACTCCCAATCCCAGACGTTCATCCCTCCCCAAGGAATATGGGCCTGCGGGCTGGCCTTGTGGTCTGATTGGACGCACGTCTGGTGAAGAAAGGGTTAGTGGGCCGGACCTCGGCTTGGGCCCTTAACCCAACACAAGTCCCCCACTTCTGATGTTCTGAGCATGCGCAGGACATAAGGAAGTATAAATCCCCTCGAAGTAGACGTTCGTGTCTTTATACTTATGTTTTATTTGCATCTGGTGGAAGCGTACGCTCGTGGTCATGGTGCTTAACAGCTGTCGACGGTTCAGGAAACGAGGTGACGGCTGCTGTAGCGGCGGTGCATTTTCCGAGGAAATGTCATCATTACGCTTCCGCCCCACGCACAGCGCGTGAGCCGGAATACGCTCCCTGCCACGCGTCAGCCCCCCGTTGGCTCCCCCACCGGTGTTTCTCCTATAAATGCTGGGTTTTCCCTCTGGATTAGGGTTCCCGATTTCTGCTCTCTTGCTTCCGAATTTCCGCAGCTCTTCAAGTCTTCTCCCGCTTTCAAGCTCGGCTAACCCCTTTCTAAGGTAATTTCCATCCTCCGCTTCTTTTCCTTGTCTTGAATTCTCGCCGAGATGGTTTCGATGGAGATCTCGTCAAGTTCTGGTTCGGGTTCATCGGGTTCCTCCTCGGGCTCCTCTTCCGACTCCGGTTCACGCTCTTCGGGCGAGACTAGCACTTCCGGTAGTTCCGGCTCGGCCCCTACCGTGGGAACTGTTCAGGCCGGGGAAGCCCAAATCGGTGCTGTTAAAACTGTCCCTGGTGAGGAGGGTGCTGATTCGGGAGAGCAAGACAATATGGCCCTCGATGTGGTGGACCCCGTGGCCGACGTCGGGGAACAGGAGGCCACTAGTGAGGACGGTCGTCCGGACGGATATGACTCTGGGGTCGAGGCCCAGGATGGTTCCGACATCGAAGTGTTTGATCTTGGGTTAAAGATAGATGTGGAGAGGCATCTATGCCCGATCAAGAATGTCCTCTGCCACGAGCAGATCTTCTCGCCGGTAGCCCTTAACAAGCTCAAGGTGTTCTTCCCCCCTCCGTCCGTATACAGCCTTCGAGGCGCAACCCACGTGATGAGGAGACGCCCAGGGATGATTATGGTGCTTCTGGACTCCATCGAGGCTGGGCTGTGCTTCCCTCTCCATCCGTTCTTTGTGGAATTCTTCTGTTGTTACCAGATAGCCCCCACACAACTCATGCTGAATTCCTATCGGTGGCTCTCCGCCTTCCTAGTCCGTTGCAAGGACAATGGGGTCACCGCCACTTTGGATCTGTTCCATTACTTCTACCGGCTCACCCCCCAAAATTCCGATGGTTTCCTGAGCATCGCAGCCCGTCCGAAGCGGAGGTTGTTCAGCGGAGCACCGAGTTCCATCCATGATTGGAAGAACCGGTTCTTCTTTGTGCGGTATGCGGATGCTCGTCTGCCACTACGGTGGAATGGCTATCCGCCCAAGATAGGGTCCCCGGAGCTGACCGACGATCTGGAGGAAGACATCAGGAAGATCTCGACGGGCGGCGTCCGACCCTTAGACGACTTCCTAACTTTTGAGACACTTGCCGCGGCAGGAATAGGTACCGCCCATACTCTCAGGCATCTTCCCTCCTACGCTCGTCTCGGGGTACT